GGTGACCCCACGGGGCCAAGAAGTTGATAAAGAGACTGGAGAGAAATTCCCTGTGGAGACAGGATGAAAAGTTTGGAGCTGCCTGGAGAAAAGAAGGTTCAGCTGCAAATGATATTGCTCCATTCTCTTTAAAATGCCATTTTAAAGGAATTTATTCTCTAAAGCAAAGCCAGCAATCAGAGATTCCCATCCAAGCTAGACTGGTGCTCTGCTCCCATCAGGAAAACAATTCTGATTTTTCTTTAAAATGAAAGATCAGAGGTAAGATTTGATGATCTTGGAGGTCTTTTCCAACCAAGCTATGGGGTTAAGTAGAGCCCACAGTCTGACACCACGAGAAAATAAAACTTCTCCTCACCTTTGCTACCAATAAATAAATGTCGTGGGGAATACCAGTTAAAACCTAGAAGAACACAACATTTTTCATTTTAAAATTAAAAACGTGTAGCTCAGAAATTCTTGAAGAAAAACCTAAAAGGATTTGGAAGGAGTCAATCATGAGACATCTGTGAGGGCTCTTTTGGCTGCTCTGAAGCAAAAGAGACATCTCAGAGTGAATGCAGCTATTTCCACTCCTCATTACCTGAAATTCAGACCTATGTGCTACAAACCCCATCCCTGCTTTATGACTGGATTTTAAAAATCCAGAATTGAAAATTTCCAAACAAATACACACACACCTCTTTTGGTTTTGTCTACAAAGGTGTGAGAATTCAGGGTTCTTCACCTGGGATTCAGGGAAAGAAGGATCTTTCAAACTATTTTGGACTAATTGCAGTGATGGTTGGCTGGGCAGGATGCAGCCCTCTGCAAACCACTTGGTTTCAGCTGATTTCCTGAGCTTTCATTGAAATTCCAAATTCAGGGTTCCATGGGAGAGTTCTGCAATGTCTGAGCTCCTCCAGGAGAAACTCCCTTCATCAAGTTCTGCACTCAACGGTGCAGGACAGAGTTTCAGAGAAACTTTCTTGGTCCAGAACCCAGATGTTTGTGTTTCTTCATCCAACATCCAGATATTTCTGTCTCAGCCTCTAGAGGAGCCTCTGACCTCCAGCAGTTTCCCTCAGCAGCCCCATCCCTGCCTGCCCATGGTGCAAAATCCCTCCTGTCTCCATTTTAACCTCCATCCTTGGAATTTGCTCTCAGGAGCAGAACATTCTGTTTTGGCAGCAGCCCAAGGGCACTTCATGAGAATTCAGCTCTGACCACTGACCAGGGTTTGGGAGTCTGAGCAGACAATTTGGGTCACAAACACCTTCACACAGCACAAAATGCTTCCTCCTCCTTGATTTGTCCACTCCTGACCTTACCAATGATTATGATTTATTATTCTAATTACTCCAAAATATTTCAGTGTCTGCTGTGGGTTCTTAGCCTGTGGAGTTTTTAGGATTTTCTTCATGAAAATCCAGCCCCAAAAGGAAAATGATGTCATGGCAACACCAGGAATGAGAAATATTGTGATTTAGGAATTGTGCAGCACCATGAGAGCACATTGCTGTGGAAAATCCCCCCTGGGGGTGCCCAGGGATGGCCTGGATGTGGCACTCAGCGCTCTGGGCTGGTGACAAGGTGGGCATTGGTCACAAACTGGACTGGGATGGCTTTTCCAGCCTCAGTGACTCTGGTATTCTGTGAAAGGGCTTCAGAGTTAAAAAAAACCCAAAAAAACCCAAAACCAAAACACATCAGTCTTCTGCTGGACAGAAGAATCTTTCTGTGCCTCATAGGAGGAACAGGTTTTATTGAGATACATTAAATAATTTCTAAATATCCTATACATTTCAGAGCACAGGATACTGAGTGATTCTACAAATAGTTGATCACACACCTCTGCTGTTTGCTGAAACAGAAATATTTTCTAAATTTTAATTTAGGGATGCTATTTAGGGATCCAGTGCATCATCACCTTGGGGAGACCTTGCACAGTCCAGAAAGCCTGGTCAGCTCAGAAATTTTCCTTAATATTTTATGTAGTGATGAGATCAATAGGGTGGATATTTCCCTGTTGCTGCATTTCAGTTTGAATTTACATCTCCTAATCTACTTTACATTGAACAGCACAGCTCTTCCCTTAGAGAGCATCTCAGGCTGGCCCTGTACATCCATCATGGAATAAATAAAAGAGAAAAATGCTCAAATACCTGACCCAAATACTTGTTCAGGATTTGGGAAGGCTCTGCCAAACTTCCAGTTCAGATGTACATCAAACATCTGAAGAAGAGATCCTCTCTTGCCTCGTCACCAGCAATGGTTTGACCCAGAATTTTTTTGTTAAATACCAAACCTCAGGAATATTAATATTATTTGGGAGACAGTTCCTTGAAACAGCATAACAAGTAGATTTTTATAGATCTGCCAGGAGTTGATGATATAGTGGCAATGGGAATTTTTTTATTTTTTAAAAATAAATCAAGAGTGAAATGTCTGCAGTTGAGGCAGGCCCAGAACATGGGATGAGGAAAACTCCAACACGTCCAGCACGGACAGGGCGGGTCGGAGACTCTGAAGCCACATCTGGATCCAATGCTGGGCCAGTTCTTCACTTTGGAATGATTTGCACCAAAGGCATCAGGGAGAAACATCCCTGACCTTTGCAGGGAGGCAGACGTGGGGAGCTTAGGGACTGATGCAAAGATCTGCCTTGAAAGGCTTGGCACTTCCCAAAGGATCCTCACCAGGGGCAGCACTCACAATGGTACCTGAGGTTTGAGCTTTTCTATATTTCACATTCTCTGCTGCTTTAGTGTGTGGGTCTGACTTTGTATTTTGGGATGCTGAGCTCTGTGCACAGAGCAGGGAGACAAAACAATTCCTGCCCCAGCTGGGCACCAAGGACAAATGATCCAAATCTCAGCCCAGGAGCACAAACAGCGTGGGCTGGAGAGAGAAAAACAAGCAGGGTGGGACTGCCTGGGCTAAAGCTGGAATGGGACAATGAACTCCAAGGTGCCAATGGAGCAGAACTGATCCCAGGGAGAGCCCCCGGGAGCGCTCGTGCATTTTGGGGCCATTTTGGGTCATTTGGGTGCAGCCCTGGCTGGGCTCTGGTGCTGCCCAAGGTGGATCCATGGAGGAGATCCTTTAATAAATCCCTTCTTTATTCTTTAGCTCTGTCCAACCTCTGCTCTAGGTCAGCCTTCACAAGACATCAACAAAACAAAGGGAAAATTTACAGCCTCTTATTCCAGAAGGATATTGTGAGAGTCATTTAATAAAAGCTTCTGGGTGATGCAGCCTGGTGGTGAACAAACACGATTCCAGTTCAGACACTGAAGTTTCCAGTTCAGATATTGGTGTTTGCAAACAAGGCAGTTCAGCGTTTCAAGCCCATTCCTTTGGGAAGGGTCGTCCATCTACGAGATTCAACCACCCCAAGGCATTCCAGGATCTGTGCTCACCCATCCAAGTGTCCATTCCCTCTGTACTCAGCACTGCTGAGGCCACACTCAAGTCCTGTGCTCAGTTTTGGGCTCCTCATTTCAAAAAGGACATTGAGGGGCTGTAGCATGTCCAGGGAAGGGAACACAGCTGGGAAGGGGCTGGAACACAAATCTGATGAGGAGCAGCTGAGGGAGCTGGGGGCAGCCTGGAGAAGAGGAGGCTCAGGAAGGCCTTCATTGTTCTGCACAGCTCCTGCCAGGAGGGGCAGGGAAAAAATGAGAGGAAATGGCCTCAGATTGCACCAGGGGAGGCTCAGGTTGGAGATTGGGAAAGAAAATTTCCCTGGCAGAGTGGTCAGGCCTTGGGATGAGCTGCCCAGGGAGGTTTGGAGTCTCTGGAATTGTCCTAGAGGAGTCTGGATGTGGCCTTGGGGACAGGGTGATGGCACTGGATGATCCTGAAAGACTCTTCCACCTTGACGAGTCTGTGATTCCCAAAGGCACAAATACAACAAGAACAGCACAAATTCCCTTGGAAACCGGAGCAGAATGAGCTCAGCTACGGAGCAGAATGAGCTCAGCTCTGGAGCAGCTTGGGCTCAGCTCAGGAGCAGTTTGGGCTCAGCTCTGGGGCACTTTGAGCTCAGCTCAGGAGCAGTTTGGACTCAACTCTGGGGCACTTTGGGCTCAGCTCTGGAGCACTTTGAGCTCAGCTCTGAGGCACTTTGGGCTCAGCTCAGGAGCAGTTTGAGCTTAGCTCAGGAGCAGTTTGGACTCAGCTCTGGGGCACTTTGAGCTCAGCTCAGGAGCACTTTGGGCTCAGCTCAGGAGCACTTTGGGCTCAGCTCTGGGGCGTGTTGGGCTCAGCTCTGGGGCACTTTGAGCTCAGCTCAGGAGCAGTTTGAGCTCAGCTCAGGAGCATCCCCCGCAGCCCGGCCCGCCCGGCAGAGCACACTGACATCTAGTGGGGTCTGGGGAAAGCACTGCCTTGTCCCTGTGCTGGCAAAAATCCCCCAAAACCTGTTCACAGAAGCGTTTTGCACCTCACCGATATTCAGCCATCGAGCAGCACCTGAAATGTGGCTGCCCCCGGATCCCTGGAAGTGTCCAAGGCCAGGTTGGGTGAGGCTTGGAGCAGCCTGGGGTAGTGGAAAGTTCTGTCAGGGGACTGGAATAAGATGATCTTTAAGGCCCCTTCTGATACAAATCATTCTGTGATTAACACAGAGAAAGTTGAGCCTCTTCCTTGTTCCATCCCTATTTTGGCCACGGTTTCCAGCTATTTTCCAGGTGCAGTTGACAAGTGCCCTTTAGGGTTTGAGAGGAATAAGACAACTCAACACACCTTCCTGAAAAGGGAAGTGACTCCTTGTAGGGGAGCCTAGCAGGAGAAAGGTAACAAGAAAAAGCAGAGGCAAAATATATTCATGTACATTCTTTCAATATGACTTTCTTCCTTAGTTTAGCTCCGTCCCTCCAAGTTCATGTTACAAAAAACCAGGGGCTGTGGTGTTGGGTTTGAGGGATAGGAAAATCAATTACTCATCCTGGTCTGATCCTGCAGCTGAATTCCCCTCCATAACCCACACTGCTGTAGGGAAAAAGGGAATTAATCATGGATATTAGACTGAAGTGAGCCCATCTCAGCCAGTCCTGCCCAGCTGCAGCGTTGTCTCCATTTCAGTGCCCATCCCTCCCAAACTCCCAGCCCTGGTCTCTAGGAGACTGTAAACAATCAGCTGAACCCGATGCTCCTTTTTCCAGCATTGTGTCCCGCCCGGAGCAGGCACGCTCTGCTTTCTGCCACCTCCCCTGCCATGACAAATTTAGACAGCTTGGGTCATGTCCTCCCAGCTGGGTGCTGACACCAGGCTCCTCCTCAGCAAATCTGCCTGGAGCAACTGGAGGTGGGAAGATGCGTTTGGAATTCCTGCTCTCCTTGAGCTCTGATCTCTGGGAGCTGCCGGGCTCATCCTCTGTGGCATCTCCTGGTGATCCATGTCACCTCCAAGGTGTCCGTGTCACCTCCTGGTGATCCGTGTCAGGTCTCGGTAGGGAAGCAGCTGATGCAGAGACAGGATCAGCTCTTCACTTTCCATTTCCCTGCCTGCCACGGATTTTCCACAAAGAACATGGAGCATCTCCTGTCTAGCCAAGGGGGTGGTGGTGTCACTCCTCAGCTCCTGTAACCCACCAGGGATCATCTCCACAAGCTGTGCTGATGTTCCTGAAGAGGGAAAAGCTGCTGGGATGCCAGAGCTGCACGTAAGTCACAGGGTGGAGAACAGGCTCTTCTTGTCTTTCCTGTTAAGTGCACAGATGAGAGAGAACGGATAACAAAACCTATTTTCCTGAGCAATATGAAGTGGATTATTTGCAGGATGAAATATATAAGTTTATGTTTTAATTAGGGTTTAAAAAAATGCCAGCTCCTCCAAAGAGGTTGGGATTGTAACAGCGGGATGTTTGCTTAGTGCTGTTCCAAATAAAGATTCACATTCTCCTGACTTATTAGGAACTGGAAAAAAAAATTGGGGTCACACCATGTGTTAAGAGGGTATGAAACTTCAGGAAAAGAGGAGTGGGAGTGATTTTAGTAGGTTTTTTTTGTTTGTTTTTTTGTGGTTTTTTTCCCCTTAAGGAAATAGAGAGTTTATTCCAGCCTGCTGTGAGCACAGAGGGCTGTTTCAGCTGCCTGGTGTTGTTCCTGTTGTTTGTAACTAAACAGCACCAGCCAAAGGAATTTTTTGGTACCTCACTGATTGCTTCTAGACAGCTTCCCTGCCACAGCTGCACAAGTCAACATCAGAAGTTTGCACTGAATTTTAGGTCCAGCTGTGGAAGGCTCAGACTTTTAAATAATAATAATATTATTATTAAAAATAATAGCACATCATCTTCGACATCTAAATGAAAGTCAGGCCAAAGATGCCCAGATGTGCAGAGTTTCATTTTGCAGACATTGCCACCTTATTTCTGTACAAACTCCAGGTTTTGGAGAGCATTTTCTCATGTTCTGTTCATATCACGGGTTGCCAAAATTTCTTGGAGCCTCCTTAGCTTTTGGACAAGTGCAGACAGTTCTGAAAGAGCAGAAACTGTTTGAAAGGATCCAGAAAACTGGTTCACACCCTCCTGAGTACAAATTGAACACAGCTCTGCCAAGCACTAACCCAAACAGAGCCAGCCTGTAATAAAGCCCAAGAACTTATTAATTCCCAGAGTGCAGGTGCCGAGTCTGCTGCTCCTGCAGGTTTGGTCTGTGCTGCTCTCGTGATGGTTTTCCCCACTCTGGTTTAAGTGTTTGGGTAAAACTTTACAATGCAGGGATGAAGGGAGCTGTAATTAGTAGGGGAACTCAAGAACTGAGGATATTAACTCACACTCTGCAGCCACAAAAACCTGCTCACCTTTTCCCAGCTCTTTCAGAAGGGGAATAGGGAACATCCACCTTGTTAAGATCCAGTGGCCTCCATTTCAAGGGCTGATGCAGTAACCTGAGCCCCCTGGCATTATTTTCCAAGCTCTCTGCCAGTGCAGAGTGTTCAATTTAACATGCTCAGCTCCCTCCTTGCTGCAGCAATGCCCCTCAGAGTGGCAGGAGCTGCACAAACCTTTCTCCACCAGGACCAAGTTTCCATTTTTCCTGCCCAGATGAAATTCCACTCGCAGGTGTGGGGTGTTTTATTTGTTGGAGAGGGGTAATGAATACTGGAGAAAAGCTCAGGCCTGGAAGAAGGCAGCGGGATGAGGGAGGATTTAGACACAGGATGAAAATTGTAAAAGTGGCTTTAATATTGCCATTACTCTTCCAGGGGAGGGAGAGAGTATGTTAACAATTTCATAATAGAGGCAAAAACAATATGAAATTAAACCTCTGAGAGATCCCCCTGCCCTTCTTCTTTACTCAGGCCATATATATATATATTTTAAGTAATAACCAAACTTCCTTCACAAGTCCTCAGTACTTACAGAAAATCAGGACACAAGGGCATCTCAGTTCCTGAGTAATATCCATAATTATATGATTGAAATAGCAAATGTCATCAATAAGGCTGTGTTTGTTTCTCACAAACACTCCCTGTTAGGTCATTGTTTGAGATGAACTTGTGAACTGTATGTGACTTTTCCCCACACATTAGAGCAGAGCAGTTGCAACTGTGCTTGAAACACACATTTAATGTTCATTTTGAGCTCATCAACCAGCCTTGAGAGAGCAGGAGCTTCTGAGATACCAAGTTCCTGAGCATTTTATGAAAATAGGCAGCAAGGCGGAGAAAACCGTCCTTGGAATGCTTCCAGGGTAGGAAAAGCAGCAGCAGCAGAGCTGCATTTACTGCACAGCACAGTTCACCACAGGGATGCTCAGTGCTCTGCAGGAAACACAGTTTTTCAGCCCACTTCTTAAGAAATTCATGTACTTAGAATTTCAGATGCATTGAGATTAGAAAAGAGATCCAAGATCACTAAGCCCAAACTGTGACCTCCACCTTGTCCCCAGCCCAGAGCACTCAGTGCCACCTCCAGGGGACACCTGCAGGGATGGGCACTGCAAACCTCCCAATCCACCCTTTCCATGGGGAAATTGCTGCTGCTGTCCCAGCTGAGCCTGTTCTTGCCCTGTCAAACCTTCACCCTGTTACAGACCAAGTGATGGAAGGGTTGGCATCATCCTGAGGGTTGGGAAAGCTGCTGAAATCCAATCCAGGAGCCCCTGGAGCTGTACAGGACATTCAGAGGGAGGTGGGTGCTGAATGCAGGTCCCAGCTCTCACACCAGTTACTCAAACCCCCTCATCTCCCTAAGAAATTAAAGTACCACAGGTTAATTACAACTCCTCATCCCCGAATTTCCTCAGCCTTAGCTCATTCCATTTTCCCAACAGAGATGAGCAGAGGAAAATCTTTTCTCTTTCAGGTTCTGGGAAGAACAAGAAGCAAACATTAAACAGCAAAAAGGGGGCTGGGAGCCAAAGCCATTCTCAGGTGAGCTCTCACTCCAGCTACAAAGCAGTTTGGCTCACTGAAGGCAGCCACAGCCAGAAAACTGGGGAATTTTAAAACTTCTGTGTAAACCAGAGCCCTACAAGGAGAAGTGAGTAAATTATATGATTTTTTACAAAGCTACACTCTTCTAACAGTCCCTCCCCCAAAATATAGAACTAAGTCTGAACCTGCTTCTCCCCACTCTCTTCTGCATGTTAATTCTCAACAAAGCAGAGTGAGGATCTCCTGTCCTCAACAACCCAAACAAATAAAGTCCCTCTTTTCCCCTCCTTTATAACCCTGGCCCCTCAGTCTTTAAGGGTAAAAGGTCTGCAACAAAATTAATAACACCTGAACTTAATTTCTGCTGCCTCCCATGCTGCACCTAATCTTCCAGCAGTATGTAACTACTGAATTTTTGGGCTGGGCTGAAAACACCTGCCACAAATCTTGGTGTTTTTCATATCCAGTTTTCAAGATGGGGCTAAATTTTGGAGAAGTGGGACATTTTTTATTTAGAGTTATTATGCACACACATAAAATCAATGTATGTGATAAGAAATGCTTGTGGTTATTGTTATCACAAAGATAATGATGGGAGTATTTAACTGGCTGTAACTCAATACCTGGATAAAAGGTGCAAGAGGACAAAGAGTTGAACCAGTTACATCCTGCACAGATAAATTTAATTCCTTTACTCCTAGTCTCAGAAGAAGGAAGGGGAAATGAAACCAAACCCCCAAAATAAAACATATTATGAGTCTGACTGAGAGTTTTTATTCCTCACCCCTCCTTTTCCAGGCAAGAGGTGCTGCTATAAATCTCTGGGTCTGGCTGATGGAGATTTTTCACCTTCATCCCACCTTGCCTGACTTTTACAGCTTTAATAATCATGTCAATATTGCCTTTGCAGTACAATATTTCTGTCCTTCTCCTCGGGTCTATCCTAAGTTTGCTTAAAGATAAAAGAGGTGATAATTAATTTGTGTGAGAGAAGAGACAGAGCCTTAAATCCTTTCCTGCTGGAAAGCAAACTGAAGTGTGTGTTTAGCAGTGGTGGTAGCTGAGGTTTTCCTCATATTCCTCCTTTTCCCAGGAGGAAGAAAATGATTTGGAAAAGCCCTTATTATACAAAAGGATCCACTTTGAGTGTTTGAGGACATGGATTCAACCCCAGGCTGAGGGTTTTCACACTCCTGTGTGTGAAAAATTCACTCCTCCTGAGTTTTTATGGAGTAATTGTTGTTTAAATATACAGTCAGGGGCACTCTAAATATTTCTGCTGAATCCTGTGGTAGGAATTATTATGGAAATTATATCACTCCTTCAGTACTTCACTGGTTTGGAAAATGTTATCTCCTGTCCTTTGGGGTACTGCCACACACAAAGAGAGAGATTCCTTTCTCAGAGCTGCTTGTAAACACTGGCTCAAAGCCTCCATTTCCAATACTCAGCAACCAAAAAAGTGTTGCTTTCAGTCACCCAAAATTCAGATTATTGTTCAGTATTCCCCAGCTGGATCATTACCCTTCCACACTCATTAAGCCCTCCCAGCCCATCAAACCCAAGCTCTGACCCATGCCCACCTTGTCCCCAGCCCAGAGCACTCAGTGCCACCTCCAGGGGACACCTGCAGGGATGGGCACTCCAAACCTCCCTGGGCAGCTCTTCCAGGAAAAAATTCCTGCTGCTGTCCTCTGCCTTTCTCTCTTGTCTTAAATATTGGCCCCATCCACTTAGACCTTGGCATTTGGGCTGAATTTCCTACAACAGAATTGCCCACAATCTCTTTGGAACAATTTCTAGCCACAAAAAGATGTTTGCAGTTGATGTGAAAGAAGCTGCAGAAAGAAAATATTCAGGTTCTGTGTGGCTGCCCTTCTTTTTGCCCCTCATGTGTTATCCCCACAGCTCAAAACTAAACTGGTCATGGAATAACTGCAAGAAAGACTCTGTGAATTACCTCCTTGAATTTGGTGGGAAACTAACCCAGATTTTGCTCCAATAATTTCTTCCTTGGGAACTGAATGTGATGGGAAACCAACCCACATTTTGCTCTGGTACCACACTGGTTAAAATTTGCTTTTTGGACAATGACAGTCAGTAATGATAAATATGGTAGAAGAAATTTTGTCTGTTCCTTGTTGAATTAAAAAGAATTTTTAGAGTGGACTGTAAAAGATGGGTTTAGGATAAATGTGGAACACGAACATGCAGTGTATGAAGTGCAGGGGCAATTCAATCAGTCACAGGGTTGTCATTTAAGAGTAAAACTCCACTTTCTTGCACTGCAGGGTGGGTACTTGGACTATTTGTCAGTAAAACAAGAAGACTTTGCTCTCAAAACAAAAGAATTTATTAGATCCTAACCACTTTTAGAAGATTCTTGAAAGTTTTGAACATGTTAAGAAAGGTAGAGTGTAAAATCAGAAAACAACAGTTGTGCAGCAGACAAATACAAAAGGTTTGACCTTTTCAACCCCACCAACCTCAACTAGAGGAGATCAGCAGTTATTTTTTTTTTTTTTTCCATTTTTAAGGATGAGAAAATTCTGATTTTCAGGCTCATGCAAGTGTCTGCTCAAAAGACCTTCCTGACAGAGCCCCCAGGGATGTCTCCTGTGGGTTTTTTTAGTCTGTCCTTTAATTTATCCCTACTAGCTTCGAGCCACGGCAACCATCACACGTTTGGCTCCTTTTGTCCTCAAGATGTTTTAAAATTCAGCCTTTTTAACGAGGAAAGAGCCTTGAGAAAGAGGCAAAACGAGACATGTGAGTCATGTGGAACAGCTACAAGGAGGAACCGGAGGAAAGGGAGAACATCACTGCAGGCCAAATGTGTTTCACACATCTTGAGCTCTTGCCCTCCATCCCCTGTCCTTTCCCTGCCTTTCTGCCCCAGGAATTGCCTCCTTTTCCCCTGTGGCAAGGGCTGTGGATCTCCTGTCACACTCCCTTTTCCCTCCCATTCAGTGTTCTTTATTATTCCTTATCCCTGCTTCATGTCTGAGTTCTACAATCCTCGTCTGTAATGAGATTTATTTTCTTTCTACTTCTTCTCAAGACAAGGAGTCATGGGTCGTTGTACCAACAGCTTCTTTTCTCAAATCCCCAGATCACTGAAAAGGAAAAGCTTGAATTTAAGGAAAATAATAGATTTTTTGGTGAGTTTTTTATGGAATAATTATTGTTTAAATATACAGTCAGAGGCACTCTGTGGATATTTCTGCTGAATCCTGTGGTAGGAACTATTGTGGAAATGATGTCGCTCCTCCAGTACTTCACTGGTTTGGAAAATGTTATCTCCTGTCCTTTGGGATACTTCCACACACAAAGACCATTTTGTGGGATTTTTAACTCAGCATGAAGCACAGAAGCCAAGTAAACTCCTGAACCTCCCACAGTGGGGCTGTGAGGCAGCTCCAGGGAGACTCTAATCACCAACCTGTCACCTTCCCTGAGCCCTGGGAGGACAGGGGAGATTATTTTATCTGTCCTCAGGAAATGTGCCTACCACCTGCTTTCTGATGCCAGGAACATCATGGGGAGGTGGGACCCTCAATCCTTGTTTTACATTCTAACACATTCCTTTCTGAAGCTGGGCTCAGCTGTTGGGAACCCCTCTTCCCTGCACATGACATCTTCAAAATTCCAGATTCCTCACACGGATAAAATTTTCACAAATATCCAAGAGTGGTAGAAGATGAAGCCACTGCAAAGTACAAAGATAAAGGCTCCTAAATCATGAAATCCCAGATTGGTTTGGGTTAGAAAGGATCTTAAAGCTCAACCAGTGCCACCCCTGCCATGGCAGGGACACCTTCCACTGTCCCAGGTTGTTCCAAGCTCCTTCCAGCCTGGCCCTGGACACTTCCAGGGATCCAGAGGCAGCCACAGCTTCTCTGGGCCTCCCCACCCTCACAGGGAACAATTTTTTCCTCATAATTCTTTCCCTGTTGATGTTTTGGAAAATGGTGACTGCTGCCCTTACTGATCCCTCTTCCTTACAGAGCAAGAAGGAAGAAAGATAAGTTCTGTGAGCCACACTTGGGTCACTTTGAGATTTTACAGATGAAAGACAAGATTGCTGAACCTTTAACTGGACCAGGAGTTCAGGACACTGGTGTGAAGTGCTTTTTTTGGCATGTCTGACTCAGGAGACAAACCTGAACCAGCCATGGGTTCTGAGAGCCCTTTTGTGGCTGACTGCACCTTGAGAATATATTCCTTGCAATAGCTGAGCTTGAAGGTGATGAAAGCCTCATTTGCTCAACAAAATTCCACATCCAAACATGAGTGGCACAATCTCCTGGCTACTTTGAGGTGAAATTAGGTTTTCCTGTTGTTATTTTGGTTTCCTGAAGCAGTGAGAGCAGTGACAACCTTAGGCCCACACCCACCTGAGCTGCAGGAGGGCAAATCCTGACAGCAGAGATGAAACCACAGCTCCTGCAGACCTGGTGGCTTCTCCCTTTTATTGCTACACCCCCTGAGCCTCCTTTTCTCCAGGCTCAGCCCCTTCCCAGCTCACTCAGGAGTTTTCCATCCCCTTCCCAGCTCCGTTCCCTGCCCTGGACACGCTCCAGCCCCTCCAGGTGTCTCCTGCAGGACCAGAACTGGGCACAGCCCTCGAGGGGCCTCTCAGAGCCAGCCCAGAGGGACAATCCCTGCCCTGCTCCTGCTGGACACACAATTCCTCATCCAGCCCAGCTGCCAGCGGCCTCTTGTCCCCCTGGGCACCCCTGGGCTCGTGTCCAGCCCCTGTCACAGCACCCCCAGGGCCTTTTCCAGCTCTCCAGCCCCTCTGCCCAGCCTGGAGCTCCCGGGGTTGTGGTGGCCTCATCCCATGGATCCAGCCTGTTCAGATCCTCCTGCAGAGCTTCCTGCTCACTCCCACCAGCTGATGTCCTCCCAGGAGGTCTCTTCCCTGCTGCTGTCAGCTCCTACAGGATTCATGTCACGGATCCTTGACAAGGCAGCACATTTCAGCAGCTTTTCGGCTTGTTTATCACAGATTGTCCTCTGTGACATGAGCCTCACACCCTTTTTGACACATGGAAACAGTCACCACTCACTGAGAGTCACTGCAAGGCAGGGTTTGAAATCTGG